CAAATGTTTAAGCATCTGCTTATGTTGCTTCCTTAGATAGTCAGAAGCCTCAATATTTCAGAAACGAAAATAAATAATATTCAACACATTATCAAATAATCATATTTTCTTGATTATCGATTCGTCTATAGAATTTATTTTAAAAGATATACCTAAGTAATCGATACATCTCGACTAAAAAGGCCAACAATTGTCATAAAGATAGTTTAACAATAAAAATACAGTCTGTTACCAATTATTTATAAGACCACCTTATATATGCGTAGACTTACTCACCAACGATAAGAGTAAAAACTCGTTGAAGCAACCACCAATCCAGAAAGAAAACTACATAAGACAAACAAAAGGCCCCTCTAATGCAAAGCAGGTTAGGAGTGAAATGGCAACGATGACATTAGCTACTGCGACAAAAAGCTGTTTACGATTTGTATTATACAGACAGAAAAATGTAGGAACTAATACCTGTCCAACTTCTATAGATGCCTCCAGTCTACATGAAATAAAAGTGTAGACACCTAGGTGTCTACCACAGGTTCATCGAGAAATCAGAACGATAGTAGTCTTTCTAATGAAATCTTTCCATGAATCATAGGCAGCCAACAAATGCCTTCCCTGCACAAGTTACTTTATCATCACTGTTTCGATAGAATCCTATGCAGATTGCTCAGAAAATAACCAGATCCACAATGATCATTGAGCGGAAAGTACCAGCCAACCGATACACCAACACAACACGCACCACCCGCCATACATATACGTTAAAGCACTAAATCTTATCCCAGTTATGTTACGCTGCGTAGCTGATGGTTTCCTGGTGGTGTTTGGGTTCTCTGTTTAATTGGCCTCGACAGACCACTCGTGAGATCAAGGTTATGGGCTCGACACTCAGCTTTCCAGTGAGTCAGTCGACAGGACACTTACTGTTGTGTGAGCCAGACATTATAGATCTAATGAGAAACGTAAAGGTAAGTTCCAACGGATCGTGTCTTTCCATGTGTCCTATTTCCTAGCTATAATATTGATCGCATTGCATGATTTCATATGAAATTTTCTTTGGATCTTCAGGTAACGCTCAACAAGACGGCCCCGTATGCATTTTTTTTTGGGAAACTATCAAAAGCCCCTAATCAGCCACAGTACCCAACAAATGTACCTGGCCACAATTCGTCCAAAAACCAAAATTATAACCAATGTATCCGAAACCGATCTAATCATCTTATACTAGCATTATTGCCAAGTATGAAACCTAGATTATCGAATTCATTTATCTGAAGCCCCAGACAAACATCTACGTAAAATGATCAGCCTACAAGAAAATATGTCCCCTTCCTTTTATCCTCATTTTGGTTATCTTACAAGAATAATAATCTTCGAAACGTGACATTGTTAATAAAGTCTACCTTATGAACTTACGGTTACAACAACAACTTAGGTTATGATAGAACATAGATACCTAAATATTAAGACTCAGACGTCAGCACGGCAGTTAGATAGTCACCTGAGTCGCACCATATTTAAGGATTCACTGCACACGAACGAGCATAGCATACCCTTACGCTCTTATCAATGCTCAAGAAGACCTTTAGTATTTAAAAGATCCGCTATGAATGGATATTTGAACAAAAAACCATTGAAGAGTTTGTCACTGTTAGAAAAACCTGATCACATTCATGCTTCTTGCAGAACAATGTAATGTATCCCTCACCCAGTGTTTTCGCAAGAGTGGTTTACCCAATGGACTAGAATCTTTCTACTAGATTTATTCAATTAAACAAGAGATAAGTGTTTTAAAGATAAAGAATGAATAGCTGCATAGAAGTTTAAGACCGACCTAGTACCAAAATCAGTCGGAAAACCCATTGCCTACAACTCTTCGTACAGTAACTGCTGTTCATCCACATTTAATGAAGATCCCCTATTAGCTACTTGCTACTAAAACATCTCGACAGCTTTGGATAGTCAAACTCATTTAAATCGTAAAAAATAGAATCTTCTTACCCGTTATGCTAGCAGGGGTTATTATATACACTAAGCAAAGGGCTCCGGTTACTTGCTTAGATAAACTTAAAGACGGACATATTGATCAAGTTTCTGTTAAAAATAAATAAAGAACATGGACAGAATGCTAGATTGATAATACCTATCCGATACAAGAAACGGGTTGTTTTTTTAAATACGAAATGAATGAAAATAGCAAATTGGGAATGTTTAATGAATAGAATTCACTCGTCCATTGAATGACAATATTTGCACAATGCAAAAAAATAGCCCAACATACTTATCTAAGTAATAACAGAAATCATTTCACCAATACAGGAGACAAAAAAATTCCTAACGCTTTACTATTTCTTAATGTCCTACGTTATGTTCTTAGTTAGACAAAAAAACTAGTAGCTTATAATACTAATCATCATACATTGATTATAATGATATATCATACTAGAATACTACTTATTATCCGGCTTGACCTTCCGCAGATTGAGCTTTTGAGTCCTGGCAGAAACACTTATTTACAATGAACGCTAACATTAACGCATGTTAGACAGAAATGGTTAAAACGTATTCCTGTATTAAGAACTCACAAGTCAGAGCCATACCGTGAAACCCGCCTCTCTCTCCGTGTTGGTACCTGTACCCTCTACCCACAGACACGTGGTCAAACTAGTTAGAGTTTAACCAAAGAGAAAATAAAAAGCAGAATAGCTAACCATAAGTGTTTTCAGGTGAAAAGGCAAACCAGAAATGCCTTATGATCCCAATATATAGAATACCCCTACAATATATAATTATATCTTATATTATTAATAGGTTCATATACTATACCTTACGGACGCCGTTTTTTACACTCAATGTTCCAACGTAATAAGAAAAGATAACGACATACACTAAAGTAACCTCACCAAAGCTAAATGATGTAGAAGAACAATCCCGTGAACACGGCAGATCCATTTAAACCGAATTAACTTAGAACATAAAAGACTAGATGTTGCTATTTTTTTCAATTGTCAAATATTTCATTCATACTGCTAGTCATAAACAATTCAAATTTATCATTTCAGAAAAACAACCCGTTATCATGGTATTTCAATCTACAGTCCATGTTTTTTTTAACAGAAACTGATCAATTTCAGCCTTTAGTTTAAAAACAAGTAAACCGACTTCTGGATAAATAACCCAGCTACATAACGGTAAAACAGTTTACATTTACTAGATTTGACTTCAAAAGATATCGATAATAGTTAGTAAAGTAAATAAGGGGTCTCATAAATTGGATGAAACATTATTCAATGATTCATGGTTTCCACTGATTGTCTATCGGTAAAATCAGTTCAGTATTTAAACTATCTTTTAATTGAATAATCTAGTAAAAATCTACCATTGGGTACTTGAAAACCTGGTGAGATTACATTGCAAAGATGAATTGATCAGGTTTACAGTAGCAACTCTTCAATTTTTTGTTCAAATATCACTCATCTATTTAAATACAAGGCTTCTTGCATTGATAGATATACTGCTCGTTCGTAATGCAAATCTTAATATCGACTCGTACTACTAACTCCTACTTCTGATTTTTAGTATCTATTCTAATCCTATTTTGAACCTAATTTCATAAGGTAAACTTTTAAATCACTCGAGATTATTTGTAAACCAAAATGACGAAAAAGAAGTTGTAGGCTGTCATTTTAGAGATTTTGGGGCTTCAGATGATCGAACTTTCATATGCCAAATGTGTAAAGTGAATTGATCGGTCGATATAATATTTTTTGACGAATTGCAGTACATTTGGTCTGTGGTAAGCTTTGAATTCCAAAATGCACGCTCTTCGTCCTAATCAAAAAAATTTCATTGAAATCATGAATCGATCAATATTAGACTAGAAATAGACACATGAAAACCCTGAACTACCTTCTCATTCTAGTATGGGACTCAACAGTAGTGTCTGTCGACGACTCCTGAAAGCTGGATTCGAGCCCATAACCTTTGATCTCACTCGCGAACAATTAACCACCAGACCAATCAGCTACGCACTAACTAACTGATAATAGGATTTCTATATGCGCGTGTGTGTGTGTATTCGTGGAGTACTTTCGATCAATGATCATTTTCTGATCAGTCGAAAGATTAAAATAACTTGAGAAGCTTGTGCACAATTCATGAAATTCATTAGAAAACTATATCGATCGATGACTGTACACACTTTTCAGCGGCACAGAAAGTTGACGATGTTCTAATAAAACTAACAACTTGTGCGCATCTATTTTCTTGCATTCATCTTCATAAGCCTTTTTTTCTATTATTTTTGCTTCAACAGTTTTTACATACTTGATAACATATATATATCTTTAAAATTTACAGACTATTTATGTAAACGGCATTTGTTGTTGTCAGTCAATGTATCATAAATAGTATTTAAAATAAAATAACAATCGATAATCAAGAAAATATTATTTGATAAGTTAATATTATTATTGTTAATATTACTGTCACTATCAGACAACATATGTTCCACACACACACACGTTTACACTCACATACTTTGAATCGGTACACATTGGCCTATTTATTATAAAGAATGGGAAAAAAAATGGTGCTTCAATGCAATCAAAATCTCTTTCTTTTTTTTCGTGAATCAATCGTCTTTTTTTTCCACCAGAATCAATCCAATTGATGATATACAGACAAGAGATAGGAAATTGTGAACTACCATAGAGTGTGTTTATGTCTTGTAAACGTTTCTTATTTGATTATATGCATTCAGTTAGAATTTGTTCATATTTACTAAAATCAATATGTAACCGATCGATCGATTTATTTAAACATTAGCATTGAATCTTCCAATCGACACACTTTTAAGAATAATGATGTTTGTTTGCATAGTTAAAATCACAAAGCGATTTCAGCTATACAGCTATTGAAAATGCCATTAGTTTTCAGGCAGAGTTTTGGAGGTTTGCGTTTTTACACATTTGAAATCATCAATCAATCATTGTTAGACCACCATTAGAAACCTGGAAGCTCTGAAAGACGGCCGTTTTGTCCTGGTTTGGGACTACTCATCAGTGGCAGTGCGCATCCACGACTCCTGCTCCTCGCAGGATTCCAACCCGGGACCTTCGGCATTGTAGGCGAACGCCTTACCATCGGACCACTGGGCCGGCACCCAACGGC